TGGATGGGTGTAGACATTTGCTCCAGAACTTTCCATGAGATAATCATTGCTGCTAGTCTTGCTAAAATTACACACCATCTATAGTGCCCTGAAATACACTTCTCAGTTCATTTCTGCACTCATAAGTGTATAAGTGTGCTCTGGTACAGCTGACAAATGCTTTCTGGCCCACAGTTGGTAGACTAAAGTGGTGAATATGCGAACACGGCTCCTCCATAAGCCTCATGGGATGGAGGCATAGGTGGCCTGGGCCCTTCCTGTATCGGAATCTGTCATTAACAGTCATTACATTGTCTCCTTCCTCGTATAACCTCCACCTGGATCATGCAAGGCAGCGGTGAGCTGTGTGCATCTGTAATGTCAGAGTCATTATCTTAATGCACAAGAACACACAGAGGTGAGGAGATTTAGATGAAAAGCTCAAAGTGAAAAATGAGCTGTCATGGAAGGATGGAATAATCAGAAAGTATGATGATCAGAATGTCTGTGGTTTTCAATTGTTTGTTTGAGTAATGTTACTTAAAACTCAAACACCTCCAATTTTACTTGCACAGCTCCAGGATTTAAATTGGTGGGTGTACTAATAATGTTTTTTTTCTTTTAACACTGGAGGAACTTTTTCATAGTTCCTTAAACTATTTGTTGTTGTACCCACTTTTTAGTTTGTTTGCACCACAGGAACTAGCAGCAATTTTAGTTATCAATGTGCAAAATCCATGTTTGGAAGCTGTTTGGACAGAACTGTGTTAAGGTATAGTGTGTCCATTGCCATATTAGAGTGATATAAACAAAACACATCTCTTTTTTAATATTCTGACTTTAAATTAGTGTAACGGAGGCTAGCTAGAAAGTGCTGTGCAGGTAAACCTCACTCTTCTGACCTTTAAAGGTGGTTTAGTGACGGACGCTATACGCCATCGTCTTTAAAGGCTGATTCATACTTCTGCGTCAAACGCCGGCATATGCTACGGCGTTGACGCATAGCCCTTCGCCGTGGCCGTGGCCGTCACTGACGTGCACCTCTCCAAAAATGTAACTACACGTCGCAACGACGCGTAGCGTAAGCTCTGTGATTGGTCGGCTTGGTAGCGCTGCCGAGTGGCGCGAATGGCGCGATCGATCGTTTACAAGTGTGGAGTACCGTGAAGGAGCTCCGGATGAAAAGTTTTGTTTTGTGTTTACCTCATAATTAAAGTTGTTGCACGTCCGCCGGTTCCTGCCTCAAAATGAGCGAGTTTGAGCCACTTGTACATCCCGGAAGTGTTCAGGAAAAGCAAAAAAGCAGCGAAGAAACTCGACACAGAGGAACATTTACACCTCACTGCCAACTAGCGTTTCGGAAGTGTTAATGCAGACCAACAGAGACAGTGCGCAGAAGTATAAATGCACAGCCACTCGCGTTGCATGCGCCGTGGGTTATGCCGGTCACCTGACGCAGAAGTATAAATAAGCCTTCTTAGCCTCTTTGGTAGAGCAACTAAATCCCATGCGGGAGGTTGCCAGTTGGATACCAGCTCGGAGCGGGTTGGGTGGTGTAGGTCCGGTGGGGTTACTATAGCATCCAAATCCCAGTGATTTTGAGGTTCACCACAATGTGACGTAGCAGTGTGAATTTCCCGGCTCACCAAGTTAATTGTTAGGCATGTCTTAACATGTCTCCATAATAACATATATACACATCCACAGAACATGATTTGCAAAGAAATGATTTGCAAAGATCTGTTCCAACTCTTTGTGATCAGCTGCACATTAAGAATGAGCTTTACAAGTTTAATATGTTTTTAAAACAGCACATGTTTGTAATAAAGAAAAGACAATACATTTGATATTTGATTCATAACCGCTGGAATCACCATATCTGTAATGTGTCAGTACAACTATGTACGAAGAGCAACAATATATGAGAGCAAATACAGTACAAATTTAAACATATAGCTGGAAGGGGCTAAATAAATACAAATAATGGACTAAGTCGAAGGAAAGTCTTGATATACCGACCCAGTGTCTAGTTTCTATAACAGAGTTCCTATAATTACCTAGTGCAAAGCCCTTAAGGACACTAAAGCTGTCTATAGTATGTTTCTTGAGGTTTAATTGCACAGCTTATTCTAGAGTGGCTTATACAGTCACTCATTTTAGGGATATGGATAGTTTCTCCAGAAATACAAATTTTGTCATCATTTACACTACTCATTCTCCATTTGTTCCAAACATGTTGAGTTTCTTTCTTTCATTGAACACAGAGGAAGATGTACTTTATATGGTAGAGGGGGAAAGCCATTGACTTAGACCTCCTAAACAGTCTTCATCATATCTTGTTTGTGTTCAACAGAAGAAAGAGAGGCATCAAGGTTTTAAACCACTTGAGTATGAGTAAATGGTGAGGAAATTAGATTTTTTGGGTGAACTATGACTTTAAACCTTACTGTAATCTAGGTCCTGGCACCAGTGCAGCATATCTGGTTCTACTCACACTTCTGCAAGAGAGAACTGAACTGGGAACTCCAGCATAGGTGGTCTGCATGCTAACAAATGTGCCTTTTGAGGACAGAGAAGATTATATTGTTATTTTCATACTCAAACATTTCTCTAAATATCTTGTCCTGTTAAGAAATTCATACAAGTATGGAACAATTTGAATGCGAGCAAATCATTTTCAGAATATTCATTTTCCCATAAACTATCACTCATCAGTTTTCTTTTTTGTGTTTGAAACTTATTTAAAAGATGAACTTCAGGTGGAACACAGTTTGTTGTCATAAAACCATAAAACATATGTGCGTTCCAAAAAGTACTTCTGTGATTATTCATATTGATATAAACATCATGTACTTGAAAAGACGGTTCAAGTAGCTGTTTCAGTGAATATGAATGGCTCTCGAAATGAATGAGTCAGTCAGCGGGTGTGCGATGATGTTTTGTTGAGGTGATGAAATCAGTGTGCATGCATGAATGCTACTTTTTATCATTTAACGTTTCAGTAAGATGTTTATATTTTAGAGCATTACATTAGACAAAATCCTGTGTAATGCAAAAGACTTTGAAAGTCAGATTTTGGAGAATGCTTACATAAAAATCCACATATGCTGCCATTGACATCCCGTCAAGACATGAAACCCTATAAAAACACTGGGTGGATTTGTCAAATAATAAATAGATGTTAGAAACATACGAAGTGAGGTGTTTTAAAATATAACTTTGCAAAGTTATATTTAAGATAGCTCTCTACAACTCTCACATGGTCACCCACTGAAGCTAAGCAAAGCTGTACTCGGTCAGTACCTGACTGGGAGACCCCATGGGAAAGCAAGGATGCTGCTGGATGTGGTGTTAGTGAGGCCAGCAGGGGGCGCCCAACCTGCGGTCTGTGTGAGTGCTAATGCCCCAGTATATTGATACTCTATACTGCTCAGTGAGCGCCGTCTTTCGCATGTGGCGTTAAACCGAAATCCTGACTTTCTGTAATTGTTAAAAATACCAGCATGTCCTTTGAAAAGAGTAGGGGTTTAATCCCAGCATACTGGCCATATTTGCCTACTGGCTTCTGTCCATGATGGTCTCCTTACCATCCCCATATCATAATTGGCTTTATCACTCTGTGTCCTCTCCACCAAGCACCTAGAGTGTGGTCTTGTTCAATGTGGCTGCCATCATGTCATCCAGGTGGATGCTGCACACCCCCCCCCCCCCCCCTTCCCCCGAAAAAAGTGCTTTGAGGGCAGTAGCGGCGCAAGCTTACCTGGTGCTCTAGGCAAATGATGGTCGTACCACCCTCACGGTATTTGTGCCTCCCTTTCATGCATGGAAGTAAAGAGCATGTGGGAGAATCAGTGTTGGGGCTAAACAGGCTCCATGCCGCCTGTAGTAAGATGGCCAATCATCCACGTTTCCCATGCCTAAATCTGGTACTGTTTGAGAGTGCAGAAAAAGTGCTATATAAATGTAAGGATTTATAATAATAATAATAATAATAATAATTATTATTATTATTATTATTATTATTATTATTATTAATTTTTTTATATCAACAAACATTCCTATCTTGGTTAAATCTTTATTATTACCATTGTTATTATTATTATATTGTTATGATATTGTTATTATCATAAACTATTACTCATCTTTCTAAGATTTGTTTTAATTATCATTTCATCATTACATTTAGTACAAATCCCTAGTACATATTTGTTATCAGTGCAAAATGTAAAAAAAAAATCCCTCCATTAAAATTAGTCACAATAATTCAGCATTCCATAAAAATAAATAAATAAAAAAGCAATGACACAAATTTTTCATTGTGGCTGATCTGTCACTTTACAGTGTGCCCCAAGTGTTTCTTTGCAGTGTGTGAGAGAGTTAGGAATCATAAAGTTTAACCTCAGTGTATGGAATAAGCAAACACTGCATTCACTCTGCTGATGTGGACATTTTAGTAAATGTTACAATCTCAATGAAAATTTACATTCTGATATAACATCTATCATTTCTGTGACCATAACTGTGCAGTTACCCCATTATACATTGTTATAGCCACGTAATATACACACACGCACCAGAAGGGTTTATGGTTCTAAAAGTACCACATACAATGTCTACCTTAGCAGCTTTGGTGACATGCCAGTTTAAATGTGGACATCATGGATTTACAAGTTCACACTGGTCAGAAAGAATCAAGATTTTCACCTGAACAGTCAAGCCCATGCTTTTCCATGTATATTCAATCTACACACATTTCTGATCCTGGTGTTTATTTAGATACAATTTAACCTGCAATACCAGTCAACATACTCTTCAAGCATCCAATTGCAGAGGATTAAACTGGGTTTTTGAAACTGCAAACTTTTATCAAAAGCATATCTGGTTATAAAGTCATTACTCAAACCACAGGTGCTCTTTTTTTTCCTTTCCAGTTAAGATAATCACTAAAAATACATGGGTTGTAATCTGCTTAAGTCGACCAGGAAAGAGCTCACAGCAGGGGCTCAGCGCTGCTTCCCCAACAACACAAATAAACCCTTGCGATCTGCTCGTTTAATCTTGTACCTGGGGTTCAGATGTAACACAGCTCACTATCGAGTGAACGGGCAATTTTTGCATGTTTTTATTATTTTATTGACCGCTGCAGTGGACTGAGGATTTATTTTTTTTTGCCATGCCTAACTTACCTAATCTCAACAGTTTTGGTAAACTGTGCGGCTCTGGTCGTAGCGATGACTCTCTGGTTCTGGATCGGGTGAAGCGCAAGAATTCAGTGCGGAGAATGTCTATTATTGAGGATGGGAATGTGGCCGAGGTGCTGTACCTCATTCCTAAACAGTCCATGATGGAGCAACTGCCTTTCCTAAACCCTACTGAGTATCTCATCCTGGAGAAAATGGCACCTCCTCAAATGGAACCCGGTAAGGGAGACTAGAGTAGGAGTGATGCTGTAGAATCAAATTAGATGTGCATTTATTTGCTTTCCCAGATCATATTTCAGATTTGTGACAGAACATTTAGTTTTATTGTGGAGTTGTGTAAAAGAAATTTAACAAAAAAAATGTTAAAACCAACATAGGCTCAATCTGAAATCGTAGAAATATATACATTTGGATTGCAAATTATGTAGCCAGAAGTACACTGTAAAAAAATTAAGCTAGTACAACAAAAAAACATAATGCTTATCTCTTTTAGCTTTTTCTGGTTCACTCAACATTTGAAAACATCAGAAAGATTATTTGTCAGTAATTCAAAAAACATTTAGTTTGGTTAACATAAGATTACTGGTTATCTGGAGAGATGAACTACTCTGTAACAAAACTTTTTAAGCTGTGCCAATTGAACATTTTTTGTCTGCAAAACTGGAATGCCTGAAGATGAGTGAAAAAAAAAATCATAATCCTTATTTCCTTTAATTTTTTTTCTTGTGTTCTCAACTTATGGAAGCATCAGTTGCACTGCCCTAAACTGTCTGAAGTTGAACAAAAAAAACTCTTTTGGAAATTGGCACTAAGAAAATAATACATTATCACAACAAACAAACATAGTTCAATTAAAAAAATAAACAGAGACAAATGTTAACAAAAACTTATTAGAGACAGAATTAGAAACAGGACAGGAGGCAAAACAACAACAGTGGTAAACATGACAAGGATCATAACATGGCAGGACAAACAGGGAAAATGCTTTGTGATGCTTCACAGGGGAAAAAACAAGACTCAGCAAAGAGTCTGTGTCAATAAGGTGTCTTTAAAGTCTAGTAATCAGTCCATCATGAGCTTCCAGCTATGTGTGTGTAATCACAGAAACTGGTTCCTCCACATGAATTCTAGTTTCTAGAGTTGATCATTAAATTAAATATCAAATACATTTGATTTCTCATTTAAGAATGGATTTTGATATATTATTTGAGCATTTGATTCATCTTTTGGGTAGTTGTTTTGAAGGTTCGATTTATTATTAGATTTTTTTAGGCATTTGAATTGTAATTTTAATTTTGTTAGGAAAAAACATCCATATATACATACACATGACAGTTAAATAAAAGTTAACAGTCCACACGTGCTAAGCGTTTTTTTTTTTTGTACTGCGAACCAGGTAAATGTGAGATGAAAATTCACATTAAAAGTCTTTCTGCAGCCCTTCAAAAAAATAAAAATAAAATTACATATGAATAATAATTTCTAATTATGTTATCATTATTGCAGTAGTATTTTGGTGTTGTTAATAATGACTTTAATGTTATCATTGATGTTACTATTATTTTTGTGGTTCTATTTATTTTGTTGTTAAGGATAGGAATACTGCAAGTTTTACTTTTTCAAGTGTGGAGGTCTAAGATTTTCTCAACTTAAAGTAACAAGTTGGCAGAAGCTTTTTCATCTTTTTAACCTAACGAAGAAAATATTTTGGGTCAATCTGTGCTTTTGAAAACTCTATTAGTTGGCTTTAGGGAAGGAGGAGGGTGGGTCAGTCGATTGGTCAGTCAGTCAGTCAGTCCACATCATCCTCTGGTTGATTTACGCGAGAACAGCAGATGCGAATGGCTCTCACGAGAAGAATTTGAGAGGGGAAAAAGCGTACACAGCGGCCCCTGCTGGATTTGTGAAAACAAAAACTGCAAAAAAACTGCTTCTGGGATGTATTTGGCGCTCTCCAGAAAGGTTGATAGCGGTATTTTTTCAGAATTTATTTATGTATTATGAACAAATACATTTTTACATTTATAAAATTTTATTTGCATTTTTTTTTTTTTTAATTATTAGATATAGGAATGATTCTATCGGTTGAACATCATGACTTTTAAACATGAACTTCTGATTTTGTTAGATTTCTATTATATTTTTTAAAAAATAATCTAAATTTAGTCTTGTATGAACTTCGGTGCAGCACAGTGGCTTTTTAACAGTGGCTTAGTATTTCCTTGTGAGTAGTACCTCACAGCAAGAAGGTCACTGGTTCGAGTCATGTCTGGGTCAGTTAGCATTTCTGTGTGCATTTTGCATGCTCTCCTCATACTGGCATGGGTTTCCTCTGGTTGATTTAAATAAACAAAATTGGCCATAGAGTATGTGTGTGAATAAGTGTGTGTGTGGGTGTTTACCAGTACTGGGTTGCAGCTGTGTAAAACATATGCTGGATAAGTTGATGGCTCATTCTGCTGTGTTGACCCCTGATGAATAATGTACTAAGCCGAAGGAAAATGTATGAATGAATGAATGAATGAATGAACTTTGGTTTTAGTAGTAATTAAGAATAGGAATATTATTAATAATTCTAATAATTTTTTAAATATTTGTTTTAAATATTCCAAAAATAATAGTAATAAAAAATATTTTTTTCAGTACTTTTTAAATACATTTTAACAGCTTTTTCTTACATTTTTAAGTTAAAAATTGCTATTTTTTTAAACCCGTTTGCTGTAACCTTCTGAAATAAACATTTGTATTCAGTCTTTGTTCAGTCCAAATTTTTGAAGCATTGCAGAAGTTCCAAGACATAGAGACCTGTTAGATCTGCAGATGTCGATAGCATAGCTGAAATATGTAGCGACTGTAAGAGATATGCCAGTATTTGTGTTTCTAAGGCAGTGGGATGTGAGGCTAATCTAAAGTCTGAGCTGGATCACAGCACTGTCCCGCTGGCAGGATTATGGCTGAACTGGGGGACACATTCCTGACAAATCTCCCCATAAGTCTGCGCCTGTCTCCTTTTTAACAATCATTCACAGTTGACCTTTGTTAAATGGCCTCTATTGGTATTACAAATGCTTCATAATGTGCTTTTCAGTAGATTTGTCATTGTATCCTGAAGTACCCAACAGAACAACTTATTTATACTTTCAATGGACATAACAATAAGGTCAGCACCCATATTATGTTTTCATCTGAAATAATTTCAGCTACAGACCATTTTTATTGATGTTTTTGCAACACTTCTTCTAGTATAAATGTATTAATGTCAGGAGGATTTTTATTGAGTATATCGTTGTAGTCTTATGTTTTAAATATACACACTGTGTATGCTTGATATTTGAAAGGTCTATAAAGAGATTTGAATGCTAAAGATCATGTATGAGTTATTATATTGTATAGCATTATATTATTTTAGGCTAGGTGCTCAAAAATGCAACACAGGCTCATTCTGAAAACATAGTCCTATATACGTTACTGGAGATCGCAAATTATGTAGCCAGAAGTACATACAGTATGACTGCATTTCGTCTTTAAAACGAATGCTTCATTTTCACGAAAACCAGCTGACTGCTTACCTCTATGTGGATGGCTTTCACCCGGTTACCAGTTTGTCAAGTTAGCTCACTATGTACGTCGGCAGACTTGAGACACAGAGAGGATCTGACCACCGTGACGGTGTTCAAGTCCAGCGATGGTTCAAGTGGGTTCCAAAGTGGGTAAGACAAAAGCAGAAGCCAAAAAATAAAATAAACAAGTAAATAACAGGGTGAGAATGTGGTAAAATCTGAACACATGGTAAAAATCAGGTAAGGGCTTTTCTTTTTCTGGACTGCTTTTTAAAACTGTCTGTTGTGTTTAGGGAGGTGGCTGGACTGGTTAATCGGTGCTTTTGAAAACATTATTGGTTGGGTTTAGGGAAGAAGGAAGGTTGGTCAGTCAACAGCGGCCTTTGATGGATTTACGCAAGAACAGCAGGAGTGAATTGCACTCGCGAAAGAAATTTTAAATCTGAAAAAGCACACACAGTGGCCTCTGGTGGATTCTCGAAAACAAAAATGTTAAAAAAAAAGAAAAAAAAAAAGTAGCTCCTGGGACGTATTTGGCACTCTCCAGAAAAGTATATAGTGGTACATTTTCAGAATGAGTCTGAGTTGCAAACATTTCAAATGGGTCAAAGATAAATAGAGTTTTATATAACAAAATCTATTTAGAAAATTAGAAACGGGTTATTAATAAATTGATATTTAAGTTTGCCACTATCATCTAAAATAGTATAGGTATTATCAATAAGTTTAGTATAAGTATTATCAAAAAGTTAAGTTAATTCAAACCATTTGAGGAAACCGGTTGCAACAAACCATTTAAGCTTAAAAACTAATACTAAAAAGTACTGTCAACTGAATCCATTTGAGTAAACAAAGCAATCTGAGCACAGTAAAACCCAATAAATGAAGAGAGCTTAAACCAACTGAGTTCTGTAAAACCCAATAAGTTAAGGCAACTTAAAACGTTTAAGGAAACCAATTGCAACAAACCATTTGAGTTAAAAAACTAATCTATATGAGTACTGTGAACGTAATCCACTTACGTTGAAGTAATGAGGCATTTAATTAACTCATTACCTTTAACGCTGTGCTCAAAACTCTTTTTAAATGAGTAGAATCAAATTACAGTCAATTTTGACTTAAGTACACTGATTTCACTTGATAAAGTTGACTGTTGGGTTCTACAGTGAACATTTTATTTGCCCTTTGTGTCAGTGTATTGATATAATATGCAAAGAAAATATGCAAACAATGTATTGAAAATGGATGCAAAAGGCTCTTGACCGAGTGTTTATAAGTGATGAGAACTGAGAACGTGTTGAGAATAGATCTGAGGGGATCTGAGCAATTGGAAAGGGATTCCTCCTCCGCTGAAATAAACATGGAAGCGTAAGCCTGACTGTTAATCTTTGATGCTTGTGTTCAGAGAATAGGGGCTCATGGAAGGAAACCAGTGCATAGAGTAATTACAGCTCCACTCCACCAATCAATCATTTATAGCCACAGCAAGGCTGGATCCCTCCTGTGTAACCCTGCAGGAAGGGGAAGTCAAAGCTAACCTGATGCCACAGGTATCATACTGAGATTCCACCAGTATTTGCTCATTTCTATGCTGCAGCTATTTTACCTTAACATTCCTAAAGACTTAAATGTACAATTCTCACCATATATGAGTAGCAG